CATTTAAAAAATATTATTTAATTGTGTAAAAATATTATTAAAAGTATTTAACAACATAAATCATATACAACATTTGATAATATGTTACAAAAATAAATTACCAATATTTATATATAATTAAATAAATTTTTTAAATATTATTAAAAGCTCTTCGTATTGTAATGATTAGTGTAACATGTTCTACATACCTACGTTCTAACAAATGTGCTTGGATAATAGCTTAATGCAACAAATCCATCACTTCCAACACTGATCATTCTAGCTAGACTTCTCCTTGTTAACTTCAGCTCAAATTAATTGCATAAATATTAATTCGACGAATACTTCAATGTTGTCTCTTTTCTGTATTTGATGTGTCTTCTTTGTATTGGCTCTAGCTATGTGTGATCTTGAAGATCATGACATTCTTTTCAACGAGTTTCAAAGGAGAATTCAAGTACAGAGTATAACATAATTAGTAGAAAAATAGGTTTTGTCTAGTGAGATATACGTTGTGGTTTTTTTACTCTTTATGCATGAATCTCCAACTATGGGCTGTTGAGTGACGGTCGAGGAACGAAGGCATGTAACGGTTTTGCGAGATAAGATAAATTGTCCTTATGTTAGTTAATATTAACGGTAGATTTGTGGTTGGAAATAATACTTCTGATAAAAGAAAATTGTAATTCTGGACTTTATCTTAATTAAATCTTAAAAGCTTACAACATTTCATGAATAAACTTCAACGCACCTTACTTAGTTCAAATGTGTACAATGTCCTTGTCACTCATTAGTCATCACTAGTACAATTACAATGTGCTATTCCTTTTTTTTTTTTTAGCATAATACATCTCAGTGTGATGATAGATGACACAGCAATTTATTTTATCCAAAGTAAATTTTTTAGCCTTAATAATTTTTCTTTGACTATCTGAAGTTTTCATCTCCGAATGAAGTTCTGTACATTTGCAATTTATTTACTTTGAAAGGGCAGCGTAGTAGTATGATCTAAGAATTATATTTGTAGGGCTAAGTAGTTTGTTGGGTGAGAAATGGACCCTATATTTGTGAGACACATGTTGAAAAGTGGGGTCATGAAGGCAAGTGGGATATATCTGCCCTTTTATTGCGCGGGTCTTATTGTTTGCTTATTTATAGTTACACAACACCTGTATTAATTATATATATATATATATATATATA